TGAAACGCTACACGCTCCCTCAACCCTCAACCCTCAACCCTCAACCCTGAACCCTGAACCCTGAACCCTGAACCCTCAACCCTGAACCCTGAACCCTGAACCCTCATCCCTCAACCCTCAACCCTCAACCCTCAACCCTCAACCCTCAGCCCTCAACCCTCAACCCTCAACCCTCAACCCTCAACCCTCAACCCTTACAGCTAAACCTAAAACCTAAACCCTACAACCTAAACCCTAAACCCCAAACCCTAAAACTTACAACCTAACTAAATCCTAAACCCTAAACCCTAAACCCTAAACCGTCAACTCTAATCCCTCAACCCTAAACCCTGAATCCTAAGCCCTAAAACCCAAGCCCCGAACCCTCAACCGAAAGCTCTCCTGATCGATCTGCTGATGCGAAGGGTGCGGGTTGAATAGAGCTCTAATAGCTCCAGCGGGGTCAGCCGTGGAGCGTGGGCCGCAGCCACATTTTTGTGTGAGACGCGTGCTCAAGACACGCAACAAGATTGGCGGTCTTAGGAGAGCCTAGCCCTGCCTCAGTTACTTTGGGCTCCTCATTAAATACATTTGGATCTTGACTCCGCACAAACGTTCCAGTGCAAAGAGCATGTCAATGCATTCAAGAGGCTCCCAGATTAATTGAGGCAGAGCTAGACCTCCCCCCTTGCGACGCGCTTGCCGGTCGCCATCTCACTCCGTTCTCGGTGCGTGGCGCTCTGTGCTGACACAGCCGTGTCAGCAATCACGGGTCGGCCATCACGAGCTGGAGAGCCCACAGCCCGGGCGTGCGCGCGCTGGGTGTTGATTGCTGACACTGCGTTTGGACGAAGCTTGCTTGCACGGGCAAGCTTCCTCCTTGGCTTCTCCACTAAACCCCTGAACCCTAAGGCAGCGAGATGCCACCTCGTTAGCCAAGGAGCCTTGGGGCCCAGTACCTGCTGCCCGAAAAACCACCCCTGGTCTCTGCGCCCCACCTCTCTCCTCCCTTCCACTCGGCAGTCAGGATTTCGGTAAGGACATTTAGGTCCTTGTAATTTTGCCAGCTCCCACCATAGGCGGACATTGGAACTTATCTGCAGGGTGGCATGTATGGTCCGGTCCATCTTGGTGGTCACCGCGAGCACGGCAGAGCTGGTTTCTGCTCCTCTGCACCTGGAATAAGCCTGGATATCACAAGCCAGTGACGATTCGATGTATTTCCGAAACGGGGAGGGAGGGAGGCTTGATGGTTGCGACAAAATAGGGCCATACTGGAGAACCAGTTCCACTGTGCGCCTATGGTGGGCTACTCGAGCTGCCAAGAACTTAGAGGACCCAAAGGGCACCGCGACACCGCCTCAAACCTCGCCTCACGTGGACCGCGGACTGGCGTGGGTAGTACCCACATGGAGGAAACAAAGGACCATGTCCGCAACACGCCCGGAAGGGCCGGAATCAGCAGGACGGCGGGAGGGTTGGGGGGGCGAGGTGGGGGCCACGCAATCGTGCCCACACCTTTGCCTGGACCGGAGGGCCCTCTGAGCCCGCCTGTCACAGCAGGCAGGCAGCGAGACAGCGATCCGAAGGCGCTCGTAAGCTTCTGGAGTACTCCTGTCGGCAGACACCACTCTTCAGAGACGATCCCGCTCGACTCCTCGCCCTGGACGGCGAAATTTAAAAACTGGGCCGCGATCGAGGGGACCGCCGACGGGGGTCGCCCAGGTGGGAACGGGGGACCTGGATGCGCCGCGTTTCTTGGCAGGATGAGCATGCGGGGGAGCGTTCTCCACGCCTGGTTTCCCAGAGGGCCAGCGGGTCGAAGGCGTTGGTGAGTGGGGCTTCGAAGGCCCTCGTCCTGGCACCAGCCCCCTGTTCCTTGCTTGGGCCCTCTGACCAGGTGCACGGAACAGGGGGTCACCCTCGTCGAGAAATCCTCTGATGAATCCACCTTGGCACTTACCCCTGCCCCCTCCACCTTGTGAGAGGTCCATCCCTCTCCGCCTCTGAGGTACCAAACCGGCTGCCCATTTTTCTGAGGCGTGTCACGTCCCCGGATTGTTGCGAAATCTCGTATATGAACACCCAAACCACCATGTCGATACCAAGGAATGAGCCCCTTTAGCTTAGTTGGCAGAGCGTACGCTTCGTAAGCGTAAGGTCGCGTGTTCGAACCACGCAGGGGGCA